CGTCCGAACATGTTCAGGTGTTCGGCCGAACGCCTCCCGAACGTGTTCGGTCAAACATATTTAACAAAATAATAATAAATAATATATATATATATATATATATATATTGTCACATAACTATTGACTAAGAGCATGAACACGTGAAGTAGAAGAAATAAGATGAGCAAAGAGAAGAAAATTGAAAGGACAGACAGGCAAAGAGACAGACAAACCAAAATGACACTTTGTTGCACAGTATTATTATTTCTTTCAGTGTTAAACAAAAAATATTTACACTGAAAAGGATAAAAATAACAAAGACACATTGAAATCATTCAGTTTCTCAGTCTTCTTAACGCCTCCTCCACTGTGCCTCTAACGTACAAGGCTCGCCACGTTGATGAAGTTGAGCGCGAGCTGCCCCCATCCCCGTATGCCATAACAGCCCACTTGCACGCTATGGGAAAGAGGCAGAGTGAAGGAAGAGGTGTCAAACACAAGGGAGAGAGGAACAGAAAAGGAAAATCGATAGGCAGAGGGAGAAAAAATAAAGATAAAATAAGGGTGACACAAACATCGCCTTTCTTTTACTGCATTCTTCTTTCTTTAACAGTTTTGCAGTTTTGGTGAAGAGTCTACCACGTTCATTTTTCAGCGCACCTGCACTTCCTTCTTCATTTTTTATTCTCATTTTTACCCTTCGGACTTTTTCTTTGAGGGTGTTAGGGTGCAGGATACAAACAAAGTAAAATGACACAAACTTATGTTCTTCTTTTACTGCAGTCTTCAATGTTTTGCAGTTTTAGTGAAGGGTTTCCCACCTTTGCACATTCTTGTACACTCTTTTCAGTGCACCTGCACATTTTTGTCAGGGTGCAAGGTACGTCTAAGTAAGACCCTCACGACAGATAGGACAACTATCATAAGGATGCGGGCGATGGTAGCAGCCCTCCCGGTGATCTGTAGGACGAAAACCATTCAGGTACGCAACTTCGTCACAGCAGGAACCAGGACGGCTAGCATCGACCATACCTCTGAAGCATGCACGGCAGAGGGCATGCCGGTTGCAGGCCATGACCATTGTGGGGCGTTCACCACCACAGTTAAGTGCACATTCGCTATAGCGCCCGTAGGCACAGATGAGACATACTACATCTGGATGCAGAGGATGTTTACAATCCGGATACAGGTGGCATCCTTGCCGATAGCGGGCTGAAAATTATATGGTTGTAATGATGTCGACAAAGTCGATGTTTTCCACAGCCAAGTGTAACTGTGTCAGTGATCTCACAAAGAAGGGAGGTCACAAGGTGTTAGTGCAGCATGCGGGGGAATGAAGACTAAAGCAGGCACGGTGACAGACATGGAGGTAGGCACGGAGACAGACACAGAAACGGGCATGGAGACAGACACAGAAACGGGCATGGAGACAGACACAGAAACGGGCATGGAGACAGGTGCGGAGGCAGGCACAGAGACAGGTGCAGAGGCGGGGACGGAAGTACACGAGGTACCTATAGGGTCAGTAATCTGGAAGGAGACAGACATAGAAACAGGCACAGAGACAGGTACGGAGGCAGGCACAGAGATAGGCGTAGAGGCAGGCATGGAAGTACACGAGGTATCCATAGGGTCAATGACCTGGAGCAATTGCAGGTTAGGGCAATTACGCACGAGGCAGTAATAGTTTGCACCATAGCACCGCCATTCCATAATTCCCAAGAACCAGAGGCACGGACAAGAGCGGTGTAGTGGCCAGGAGTATGTAGAATATAGGCACAAACRTGCGAACAGTGGTCCGGGTCGCCACCCGAAGGGGCACGCTGCATATCAAGTCGGCGCCTTATCAAAGCAGTCTCCAAAACAGAGACATTGAATCCCCCATGTCGAGTGTAATTACTATCCTGCGGAGGATGCAGAGCCGGGTTATCGCCATATAACTCACGTTCCTGAGCATCAAGATCGAAAGCAATGGCCAAGAAATCAGAGTGAGTATATGGTTCCCGACGATAGGCTTGTAGGCAGATGTTAGTAGCAGCGAGGCCACACAGATTCGGTGGAGACCGGTCAGGCGGATTTTCTACAGAATCTCCTACAGTCCCCTTGCCAAGTTCATCCTCAGATGGTCCCTCGCCATCATCCCTCCCGTTTTGTGTTTGCCGCGTTGCAGAAAGGTCTGCAGTCGAAGAGCGTTGCAGGCGTGGTAAGGATGCTTGGGGCGGCAAAAGACGGGGACGGGATGTTGGGGAAGGCCGTGGTGGGGAGAATGAACGGGTTCTTCTTCGTCCAAGAACAAAGATATATATATAACGGCTGCTGGCAAATGTAGTGGTGGTTTAAACTTCTATGCACAGTTCATTCATGCATATGACCACCGCTTACTTTTTTTTTCTTCTCCCCCGCCCCCAAAGACACAAGCCCCCTCTATTCTGGGGTGCCACAGTCCGGTTGCTTATCACTGGCAAGCCTGAAAGTACAACCGAGAACAAGTAAGAAAAGGAGTCTGCCACGCCCTTGCAGCACTTCATGCCTGCACGTTCATGCCAGTCTCTCTGACCACATGGTTTATCCAATCACCCTCTGACACCCATATCACAAAACCATTGACGCTTTAAAATCCCAATACTGTCCCTACTTGGAACTCACCTTCCGGCATGACAGTCCCTTGTCTATCCCATGCTCATACTATCCTCGTACTATCTTCATTCACTCTACCCTCGCCGGTTACTTTTTTTTTTAATCACCCGTCGGTCCGGTTGCTTATCACCAGCAAGCATGAGTACAAGGGAAAAGAACCGAAAGAACAGAATTGCAAAAGAGTCAGCCCAACCCTTGCAGTAGGAGTCAAAGTTTACTTAGCAGTGCACCGACACGGTTTTTGTCTTTTTTCTTTTTGAACAAGCTACTAATGTAATGATCTTCATTTTTAATTTTATTAATACGCTTTCTCAATTTATGTGTCTCATCCTTGCGCAGGGGCCACGTTAATCTTCTCTTTGCCCCGCACTGTTAAACTCCTATGCAGATTTCCTTTCGAGCATACATTGCCATACAACGAATTACTTGGAAATTGTCATTCCAAGACTCGTGCACATTCATCCATTCCTTCATAATTTCATACACACCCATTTACTCAGATAGATTGTCCCTCGGTCTAAGCCCGGAGTCAGATTCATTGCCAGCATTACAATGGACGAGTTCATAGCAGTGTATTATCACAAGGGACAGCAGAGTTCAAGCTTCAGCTGGCACTCATACACACTTACACACACATACACATTCATGCGTTCATGTACGAACGCATTCATTCCTACATTCTCTCGTATACATGCATGCAGAAATGTCCGCCGAAGAACACGCCTGTCCACACGTGCAAACACGCACAAAAAGCTGGTTAAATCTTGCTTGATGCATCCATCCATCCATCCATACATATTACATAGTCTGCATCGAGTAAAATAATTTCCTTACATACATAAACTTCTGCGACAGTTCTGCTGGACTTACCTCTCACATAACAAGGGCTTCATCTCCAAACGAGGGAGACAGATGGGCAGACAGACAGACCAAGAGACAGACACAGAGAGAGAGAGAGAGAGAGAGAGAGAGAGAGAGAGAGAGAGAGAGAGAGAGAGAGAGAGAGAGAGAGAGAGAGAGAGAGAG